TGGGTGCCAGAGGGTTTTTTTGTTTTCGTGGCGATTGCTTGAACCGTTTTTCTTTCGTTCGCCAACTTCGCGTAAGGGTCACGTGTCATGTCGTCACGAAGAAAACGCGGGAATTTTCTGCGTTACAAAACAAGTGTTTCTGGATGTGTCGTTACTCAGTGGCAAGGACAGTTTTCCTCAAACTTTCTTCTTCATTCCGATCTTTCTACCTATTTTCCCGTCGGAGGGTCTTAAGACGAGAGGGATGATGGGAAGGAAGATGAGAGGACTGGGAAAGAATCAGCAATGGAAGAGAAAAGTCACGTGTTATGTCACGAAGAAAAACGCGGGAATACATAACAAGTGCTGTTGTATGTGTTGTTACTCAGTGGCAAGGACGTTTTTCGTGATCGCCGAACTTTCTTCTTCGTTCCGATCTTTCTACCTATTTTCTCGTCGGAGGTCACATCAACAGTTATTTCGGAATAACTTCAGATTTGTCTGCATGGCGAGCGAACCTCCAGCTAAGCGAACCAAGAAAGAAATCGCTGAAACAAGCGACAGCAATGGCGGAGACGAAAGTATTCTGGCCACATACATGGCGAAAAGACAAAAAGTTTGTAAATCCGTGGTCGATTTTAAATTCGATAAGAAAAGAGTGCGGCTTATTACATCCAATGTAGATATGCCAGAGACTTGCAAAGGAATCGCTTACTGGATGTGGAGAGAACAAAGAGTTCAGGGTATGCCAAACATGTGGAACATGTTTTATAACACCTCCGTAAGAGCACTAGCCTAATAGAATCTTAGTTCTAAATCAAGTGAAGAAAAGCGTTAAGGTGATGGCGAGAGTCTTGCCAGAAACTTGTTAAACTTGCTTATAGAAGAAAACAGACGTTATAATCAGCTGAAAAGCAGACACTTGAGTTTGTTACGTAATGCACCTATCAATGGTTTGGCCCAGGAGGGGGGGGGGGGGGTACTTCTAGAAAAGTTGAGAAGGGATGTGCGGCCCCCTTCTCAAAACCCTTACCCTCTTTATGGCCTAAATCTGCGTTTTTTGCTACCCTATATATGACCTGACTTCGATAGCCTATTTATGACCGTTGCGGCTGACACAGTTGCCATAAACATACGTTATGAAGGCCTTTGTTGAAGGTCCTATTGATAATGATGAAAAAGTAGCTTCTGCTAAGAAACATACCCANATGTCAATTTCCCTACCCCTGGGTCTCCATTGAGAGTCAAATTCCCACCCCTGGGGATCACAGATCCTGTACAGTAATGTCAACAAACTCAGTGAAATCATGATAAGTAGGATGCAAATGTTTATGTATTAAAATAAGGTTCTGTGCAAATATTTCTTTCAAAATCCAACAGAAAGAAACACTATGTGTTACAAAACTTCTAGATAGATAACGGATGGGTGTTAAAAACAACAATTTTTACTTTAAAAGCATCAAGATAATCCTTACCTTCATTCTGCCATTGTGAAAAGCACAGCAAAAACACGGGAAGCTCATCCAAATGATTTCTGGGCTTTTTCCAAGATGGCCGCTTGCTCCCATGTCCTCTCCACTTTCCAAGATGGCGACAGAGTCAAATTTCCCACCCAGGGGATCACTGTGAACGTCAAAATCCCTACCCAGGTAGAGCCTCACAAAGTCAAATTCCCGTGGGTTGCCCCCCCCCTCCCTATCCTGGGGCAAACCATTGATAGGTGCATTATGCAATCCTTGGATGAGCTTAAAAATGAAGTGTAGGCGTTGCATCACATTTTTATAAACATTTTTTGACACAAAACTGAGGAAAGAAATGACGATTTACCGGCAATAGTAGCTTTTGTGATTTCCAATGATGTATTAAGATAAAAATATTTGGTTGGGCAAGGGAGACACAAGCATAACTAAATTATGCATGCTAGATTTATATATGTCAAATTTTGTTATTCTCGCATTTTGATTGGTTCTCACTTATGATCAATTGGAGGACAGACATATAGATAGCATCATTAACATTTGTTTTTGTTGCTTTATTATATTTAACGATTGGATTATGAGCTCGAGATTTCTATTGCGTGATAGTTGATGAGGGCGCAGCCCAAGTCAACTATCATGCATAGAAATCGAGAGCAAGTAAACGGTTGTAGCATAAATCTACTAGTTGTTCAAAACTTTATCCAAGTTCTCTTCACAGACACCTTGAAAACGCAAAGAAGCGGCATTCATTTTGTTAACAAGTGAACACTGCTACGCTACCCACTGTCTACAACAGAAGAGATAGTGAGTAGCGTAGCCAATCAGAGAATACTATTGGTGATAGAACGCTAGTAGATTTATACTAAATTTTAACAGATAGATTCCATGTTGCCATGCATCTGTTCAGTAATATATAAATCACAGAAGACGTCAAAATGTCGTAAGAACATTAGTGACACACTCAGCTATCACCTTATGTGCCACTTTTTTGTTCTTACCACATTTTTGATGCCATCTGTGATCTATTACTGAACAGACACACAGCAATTGTGTGATCAGAGGCCACCAAGATATTCACATTGCCTACTACAATACTTACTTCCATGTATGAACACGGGGGATGTTGAATCGATTTTCTCAGAAAGCTATACAAATTGCCCCAGGTAGTGATGTAGATCATAACGAGAAAGTGGATTTACAAACCATTCTTTGATAGTACAGTCTAACTTTTTCTGGGCTTCAAGTTGAAAAATATTTGATAATTTCTTTGTTTTCCCTGGTATTTGTCATCCACATTGCAAATCAACATTCTTGTGAAATTGTGTGACATCCTGTGAGGAGTGATGATCGATGATCACTGATGTATTCTAGAGTGTGTTGATGTGCATTCTTCATTGACTCACACTGTTTATTTTCTGTGGTGATCATGGTATTTTTGATGACTGTATTTGTTTTTCATTCACAGACAACTGGGCTTTACTGTATGCCCAAAGAATGGCCATTAAACAGGAAGTACCACTCGTTGTGTGCTTCTGTTTGCCATCCAAATACCTTGATGCTGCATTCAGGCAGTACAGTTTTATGATCACAGGTCTCCAAGAGGTTGAAAAGGTACAGGCTGTCATCTCATTTAACAGACTGGTTACCAATATACTGTCAAGATCTGCCAATCCCAGCTTAGGAAGATTTAAATACACATGACACAAAAATTTATTTGCAACAATTTCTTTCAGGAGCTGACCGAGTTAAATATTCCCTTTCATATGCTTCTTGGTGAACCAGACAAAGTCCTTCCAGATTTTATTAAATCCAAGGAAATAGGTGGTGTTGTAACAGACTTTACACCAATGAGAACACCAATGAAATGGCTGGAGAATACTGCTAAAGAATTACCAAAAACTGTTCCAGTTTGCCAGGTTAGTATATAATTTGTGATTAATTATGTGGTTATGTCGTTTATTGAACTGGATGATTGAACGAAGTTGATGATTGATGATGGAACTGAAGTGGACTGACTCAGACTGGAAACTGTCTGACATGTCAGTTCTCAACCTGGGCCTGGTTGTTCAAAGGGAATGCTATCCACTGGATAAATCACAATCCAGGGGACAAGTGCTGACAAAACGAACCATGCTATCTGCTAGATAATGATTTGTCCAGTGGATAGCATTATACATCCTTTGAATAATGAGAGCCAGGAGAATAAACCAGCGATATAGCTGAGAAAAAACTAAGCAGGGTAATAAACAAACTCATCTGGCTCTTCTGGCCTGTGCAGCTTCAAATTTACCCCAAGTCTTTGCTTCCAATTTTCACGGCTTTTATTAAGGGCTGGGCACCAGGCAAATTTACCAGTTGTGAGGATGATTTTGCCCACCTGGTTTGGCTATCTAGAGGAAAGTTTTCTTATAAAGAAGTTCAGTTCAAAAAGTTTTGCGTGCTTGTTAGAACCAGCTGCCCCCCTGCTGAAAATGTTAATGAAACCCTTGCTTCCAACACTCACAGTGTGGCAAAATGTGCTCTTGTTCAGGTGGTGAAATTAGCCAGTAGCCTGCTGTTAGCTATTATATCCCACATAAATGGGTACCAGCAAAATCAAAATCTTCAAAATTTCTTCATAGCTGAAACAGGGATTTATAGAAACTAGCTCAGGTTATTGTGAGTCAGTATTTTAAGATGGTATCTTTGAGAGGTCTAGTAAAGCTTGAACTACGTCCACATCCAGATTGGTCTCCTTGGATCATGTGTACTAAGGGCATCCACGGTCAAGTGTCAATCAATACTCTCGGTCGATACCCTCAATCGACATCTCGATCAATACTTGATTGACATCCTGATCAATACCTGGTCAACACTCTGTCGACACTTGATCAGCAGTCAGTCGATAGTCAGCTGAGTGTCAACTGACTCTTATCAATCAATCACAAATTAGTTGAGTCTCGACTAACTGTCGACCAAGATGTTGATGGAGTGTCAATAAGGTGTCAACCGAGGTGTCAATGGAGTGTTGATTGAGTATCAATTGAGGGTATCGATTGACACTTAACCATGGATGCTTTTAGTGCACCACATGATCCATCTCCTTTTGGGGTTTAATTCAAATGTTCTAGCAAGGAATGTCTCCACGTTTAAATGGAATTTCCTCTCAGGGTTACATTTTGTATAGTTAATTCTATTATTAACTATTTTTTATTAAATTTTATTTTAAAGACACAATGCCAGAGTTATATGTTTTTCTTTTTTCATTTACTTAGGTGGATGGCCACAACATTGTCCCTTGTTGGCAGGCATCTCCAAAGTTGGAGTACGGTGCAAGAACTATTCGACCTAAAATTCAGGGCCAGTTAAAGCAGTTCCTTACAGAATTTCCACCTGTGATTAAGCATCCTTATGTTGCAAAAGATGCAGCAAAGGTGAAACAATTAATGTACGACTCTTAAAACATTCTGACTGCATGGTCAATTTGGTTGTTTGAAATTATGTTATTAGTGATAACGATTTTCGGGCTAGTACATGTACATCATGCTTACAGCTAGCCTGAAGGCCAAGCTTAAAAACTGGTTTTCTTTGCACTCTGTTAGTATATTTGCATACTAAACATTATGTATCATAGGCGAGTAATGCTTGCCGAGTGTATGCATGTTTACAGCCCTTTGTATCCTTGACAGGAAATGATGTTTGAGTCAGTTCCAAGTTGACGTTTTCTGCTGATGGGGAGGAACATTAGTTTCTCATTCATCATTTGTGAATACTTGGAACTTAAACCCCTTGTTCATACCAACCTCAATGGTATTGTTTTAAAATGAGTTTTTGTTTTCAGAAGACAGTGGACTGGAAAGCTGTGGATGAGTTCATTGAAGTTGATCGTAGTGTCAAAGAGGTTGAATGGGCCAAACCAGGAACTAAAGCTGGACTGGAAATGCTGGAAACATTTTGCCACGAGAGACTCAAGTATTTTGCTACAGATAGAAATAATCCAACTAAGAGTGCTCTGAGTAACTTGTCACCTTGGTTCCATGCAGGTAAGTATATAATTATGCCAAAAAAATCACTCAAAGCAATAAATCTCTTTATTTAAGTGTCAAAGTGTTTAGCACAAGCCTCTGTACTAATTGAGGACACTGAAATAAGCAAACAAATACTGCAAATTAAACAGAAACTTGTTAAAAATCCCAACTGGTGGGAGGCTAACCACTGAATTTACAAGCGTGGAGGAGTTGAATCTGGGACCACCAAACACAAATCTATCCAGTGGCAGAGAGGAGGATTTGAACTTGGGATCTCTGGATTACAAATCCAGTGCCGCAACCACTAGGCCACACCACCTCCACAAAGCTTAATTATAGCTATGCCTTACGTGCAAAGAATGCTGTAGCAGTAAGCCTGATATTTTTTGGATGAGAAAATTTGTAGTGAGTTTTCTTGGTGAAAGATTTTTGTAAGGACTATGTGGTACATGTAGGTTTGTAATAGGGCAGCATAACCCAGGATTCACAAGTAAATCTGTTTTTGTTTTCCTGGACAAAAACTCAATGAAAATTCTTTTTCTCACTTTCCCTTGTATAACCCATGAAATTTTATAGCTACCATATATTGAAAAAGCAAACAAAATTTTACTCTAAATTGTACTAGAAATTTCGCAGTTTTACCACTTACTAACTAAGTTTTCACATTTGTCAAGTTTGAAGTCAATTTTACTTAATGATGTCTTCTCTACACAAAGTCATCAGCCAGAAATTTAAACACTGTTGTTGGGTTTTCTGTAGTGGACAAGCGTCTAGAACATTGGGTAGTAACTACTAGCCGCTTGATGCTATAGATGCCAGAGTTATGTCGTAACACTGGTCAGCCATCATTCTCCTGATTCCCAGAATTGGCTGCTCACTTAACGACCTTTACCTCCACTTAGGTCACATCAGTGCACAACGAGCAATACTTAGAGTCAGAGAATTCCGCAACAAATCTAAAGAGTCTGTCGAGGCCTTCATTGAAGAGGCAGTAGTAAGGAGAGAGTTGGCTGACAACTTTTGTTTCTACAATCTGGATCACTACGACTCCATCAAAGGGACGAATGCATGGGCGCAGAAAACTTTACAAGACCATGCTCAGGACAAGCGGGAATATTTGTACACAAGAGAACAACTTGAAAATGGGCAAACTCACGATGACCTGTGGAATGCTGCTCAGGTATGAATGACCTGAATCATACAGTGTACTTAAAGAACTGTTTTTAAGTGTCTGTCTCCTTCATGTGTAATGTACTGGAGTACCTTGCATGATCTCTCCCTTTGAGATGTTAACTAAGGTAGCAAAACATTTACCCTTTTGCCTTGCTTTTTATCCACATTTTAGTCGGATGGCATTTTCAAAGTTTGCAACTAACTGCAATCCTATAGAGTACATGTTCGTCTACTGAAAAAAATAGACAAAGCAGCCACCCTTGTTTTCTATGAGCGAAAGTCACCTTGGCGGCACCACTTAACTACTTGGTCATAGAAAACTTGGTCTTATAGTTTAATAATAATTGTTAATCAGCAACAGGAGCATGAAACAATATTTCACATGAAGAGGGGAAGATAAGCATCTAGAAAAAATGACCTGACTGCAAGCGTACATGTTTAGGCGAATTTTTGCTGATGTCATTGTTTACATTTTTCCTCTTTAACATGCGATTTTGTGCATAGAAGGCATCACACTAGAGACAAATTGACTTTAAACATTTTAAGAGCTGTGAAACTTAGTAATTGGTTAATGTTTTGGATCTTTGTGTTTAATATTCAAGGAGAAATTGGCTTTTAAAAACAGCAAAATTTCTGGTTGGCAAAAGCGCTAATTGGCTCATACATTCTTTGTAAAATTTTGAGTTTTTAAACCTGTGTCACGCAAAAAGTATTCAGTGCATTGGGCTCAAATTCATTAGGACTGTTAATTGTGCTGTGCTCTTTCAATATTCAGAACTAATGTTTTTGTAGCTCCATCAGAAACTGTATTGCTTATGCTAGTGAGGCAAATAATGTAAACAAAGGCTAGATTCTCCTACTAGACTGGTTAGGTAAGATATACTAAACATGCAATCATATTTTAACTTTATTTCAAATCTTTCATCTAAGCTTCAAATGGTCAATGAAGGTAAAATGCATGGTTTTCTGCGGATGTACTGGGCTAAGAAAATCCTTGAGTGGACAGCATCCCCTGAAGAAGCTTTACAGGTGTCTCTCTACCTCAATGACAAGTTTGAACTGGATGGAAATGACCCTAATGGTTATGTGGGTAAGCTAAAATTATACACGTACTCATAATCACAATCACAATCACAATCATAATCATAATCATAATCATGATCACAATCATAATCATAATCATAATCATAAATAAACCACTTTATTTACCTAATGGTTGAAGTGTTCAGCACTACTGTACTAATTGGGGACACTGAACCAAGCATGTATGCTAACTATTGTACAGAAACTTGTTAAAAATCCCGACTGGTGGGAGGCTGACCAATTGGCTATTATTTTACATAGCATAGAGGAGCTGAATCTGGGACCATCAAACAGAAATCCATCTAGCTGCAGGCAGAGGATTTGATCTCGGGACCTCCAGATCATAAATCCAGCACCCTTAACCAGTAGGGCATACAGTCTCCCTTGATTATTGTAGCTTTTTGGTTAATTTTATTTTTTTGGCCCTGTAGAAGTTATGGTTTGGTGAGTCATTTTAAAGATACTTTTCTGCTAAAAGAGTTGGAGGTCTTTAATCCAGTCTGCTTAGTGATCTCTGTGGCTAGATTGAAACTGATTTTTACCCAGAAGAAACATACTAAGATTGCAGTCAGGAATGGACATTGATCAGTCATCATCACGTCCTTTTAATCAGCTGCAAAACAGGGCCATATGTCAAAATCATTCTTAATTTGACCCTCAAACTTGCATTTAGACATTAAAGACTGTTTGTAACAAGAGATTTTGCAAATTCTCACAGTTTTGCAAATTCTATTCCAGTAAGATGTAACGAAAGATCATTGTCCTTATCAATTTCTACTGATCAGTCCTTCCTTCACGGTTATCAGCCTTTGGTGCAGATTGCTGATTAATTACAAAATTAATGTTGGGGCCTCCTGGGCAGCTAGGGTTTAAACTGGCTGAATGTAATTTATTAGAAATTTTGAGACTCTCAAACATTTCCTTTTCTCCCATTTTCTTACAGGCTGTATGTGGTCTGTGTGTGGAATACATGATCAAGGTTGGGGTGAGAGGCCTGTGTTTGGCAAAATCCGTTACATGAACTACAACGGCTGCAAGAGAAAATTTGATGTGGCTGAATTTGTGCGAAAATATGGGCCAGGAAAGGATAAGAGCTCTGTTGCATCTACAAAGAGTGTCCTAAACAGGAAAAGGAAGGCAAAGTGACTGCACATGTAAAGATTTATTATTTTTAATTATTCAGGAAGATTTCTTGAGAGAACTGACATTTTCTTGTGTTGTTGTATTTGTAGAAAAGCCTAGCATTCTTGGATTACTCAGTTATGCATGTTACCAAAATGTTTGTGCAAGGGAAAGAAAGCAAGTGAACTAGCTATAATTTTATTTCTGTCACATTAGTGCTCATTCTTATCCCCTTGAACTGTATTGTATATTCCCCTAAACAGACCTTGTTAGCTTGGGTGGTTTGTTTTCCCACTACAGGTAACCTGATATTCTTTAGGAGATTTTTATTCTTTTAACCATCTAAAAATTATGTACAGTATTCACATATACAAGACTATTTGATAGTCTGAAAACGAGAATTCTCAAGAGTTTCATCACATGGTCTGAAATTGGGCAACAAACCTATTATAAACAATAATAGTTATTATTGGATAAGGTTTTTGTGATATCCAATAGGAGGTGCGGTGGCCTCATGGTTAGTGCGCTCGTCTCCGGATCGAGGGGTCCAGGTTCAAGCCCTGGCCGGGGACATTGTGTTGTGTTCTTGGGCAAGACACTTTAATCTCACAGTGCCTCTCTCCACCCAGGTGTATAAATGGGTACCGGCGAACTTAATGCTGG